TTAAGTCGATCCTCATAGGTGTCCATTGTAAGCTTCAATATTTCTCCAGAAACACCCCAACAATGGCTAAGTGTCATGTAAGATCCTTTGAACCCATTATTAAGCCTGAGATGAAGTCCAATACTCGAAGAACTGAGTTGCCGATCATTGAGATACCCCGTACCAAGACCACCAATATATAGGAGCCTGGTAGGCCACCATGTACTAGGCTGGATACGTTTACACCTATCATGGTTATTGATGCAGTTTTCTATCCATGAAAGAGATAACTCCCATGCTTTTAGGTCTCCCGTTGAGTCAGGGGGCCTGTAGTTTAGATGCCTATACGATGCTAATCTCTCTTGGGCATGATTTCGGTCTAACAAGCCGCAGTATAAAGATCAAGTTAGTAACGGTGGCCGTTTATTACACGGACAGCTAGCGAAAACGATCCGACATGACTCACGTGAAGTACCTGGGTAGGAAAGGTGGCTAGCCAGGGCTCCTCCAACCATTGCAGCTATTTCCCTTCTTTTCTTTGAACCTAACCAAAGGGTGGTCCCACCAGGAACTCGAGATGGATTGTATATTTCGGTTAATGCAAATCCATCCCAATGAAGAGCCTCCTCGAAATACCCAACAAAGCCTCGCTGCCGAAACTGGTGCTCGAATAGAATGCAGAGCCGGCAACCAGACTCAATCGCGCTATGCAGACTCTCAAGCGTAGGATGATGATCAGATCTTGGATCGGACCTAGATTTCACACTAGAGCCCGATCCCAAAGCAGAGAAGAATCTGTGGCAGTAATAACAAAGTCGTGGCCCAAATGCCGTAGATATGCCGCTCTCCCGATCTGACGAGTTGGATTTCATGTTGATTAGAGATTCACATCAAGTTTCAAATGGTAATGCTCTTGACGATTAGGGTATACGATGAATGTGTGTAACTAGTCGTTAAGTCTATCACCTGATACTAGGACTATGCGAGGCGCAGTGCAGCCAAGTCTTCCTTGCTATAATCAGATTAATACTGTCTCACGCCCCTGGCCCCTATGTAGGTCTCGACAGTGATTACTAAACATGGCCCCTGAATTAGGTGATTACCTAATACGCCATCCCCTTTTTGTGCTCTGCTACGCACAGCATGGGAGTAGATGCCATGAATTATTGGAATAAATTAAGCATTCGACTGATCATTTGAGGAGGTATTGTTGGTTTAGTTACTGACATGACTTACAATACGCAAAGTACTTAGGGCACTCAGATTTTTGGATGTCGCAATTCTTCATAGAACCATTGTTAGACCTGCATGGTAATGCCATTAGAAGACAAGTGTGCTTGAAACCTAAAAGCTATCTCTCGTGGGTACATGTAGTTGAACCTATTCGTCCGTCTTTCGACTATTTCTCGGAGGCCTTCTGCATCTTCGCAATGGCCTCACCAACCAGTCTTTTGGTGTCTTCATCGGTCCGAGTGGACTCGGCGGCCACCAAAGTTTGATACCAACCATCCCACATCTCCCGCGTGATCTTGGTTCCTGGGTCATCTCCTCTGCGATCGAATATGCGTCCATGTTTCACATTCGCCCAGAACCTATCGGCCCCGTACAGAGCCCACATCGAGGCCGTTCGGACTGCATGATCGCTTGGGACCTGCTTGCCCTCCTCTGGCTCGGCAGCTTCTATAAAAGCGACGAGACACCAAAAGGAGAAGTCCATGGGGTGAACTCGGGCAGCGGGATCTGTATAGTCGATGTCGGCTGCGGTGCTGAGCTGTGCTAGGAAGGCGACGTAGTTTTCGAACCTCCGTTTTTCTTCTTCTGTTGTGGTGGGATGCTTGGGGACTGTATCATAGTAGTTAGAACGACTAAAAGAATGCGACGAAGCGGAAGCTGTAAATCTACATACGATGACCATGCCATTCATCAGAGGCGGTGTAACCAAGGGCTGGAAGATCCGTCCAGAGAAGTTCACCATCTCTCGCCAGGGGCTCGTTCGTCCATGGATTCGTCACTTGGAGTTTCTGTAGTTGGGAGACGAACTCAACGAGCTTGGTTTGTCGGGAGGGTGGAGTGCGTTGCGCTAACTCAATCAGAGCAAGGAACGTGTACCAAGGATGTGCCCCCAAGTCGATTTCTTTATTCGCAGCGGCCTTCGTAGATGTGATGTTGACGATTTCCTGCACTACATCTGAGGGAGAGACTTCAGGGTCGTCGACGAGCTTCTTTAGTATCTTGAACTCCGAATATGTCTCCAACTCGGCGATAAAAGCAGCGCGCCCACGTCGCCCTTTCTCAATAGTCATAACCATGTTGATGTATTGTTTATTGTAACTTTAGAGAACTAGAGATTGAGGTGAAAAAAGATGAGACTCATGAAAGTGGAAGATCAAGGTATATCGAAAAGCAGTTTGCGGGATCGAGAGATTCGTTGTTCAAGGAATATCAACTTGAGAAATAAGAATAATAAACAAGCTTAGAAGAGCCAATTCTAATTTTATTCAATACAGTGACGTCATATAACACGCGCATTTTCGAGTCTGTCTGCATTGTGGCCGTGTTTGTCTCTAAGTGGGTAGCACGAAGTGAGAAATAGGAGAGGAGGTAGGTAGCTAAGGTAATACATTTACGGCACATTGCGGCGTAAGCTACCTAATTATCCAGTTTCGTGTGAGGCACAGCAGATCTAGCATCGGCAATGTCGGCCGAGATCGTCGTTCATGTTACAGCAGCCGAAGGAATAGGATCAATACTAGCTCCCCAGAATAAACTTGGTTCAATATCAAACAGCTACACAACATACTTACCTACCACCTAGACATACTATGCGCAACTGAGAATCAATATGCTTGAAGACCAACATTGGTGTCGTACGGCTAACCTTGCTCTCCCCTGTACCTACTAGTTAGCACTACCCTTTTCGAACCTGTGCCCTCGATCGCCATGAGCGCAGCTGGAATCCTGGATATTTCTTTATTTAGGACTATGTAGGTAGAATTGAAGAGGTAAATTGTAAGAGGAAACCAAGTATAAGAACCTCCATGAAGTCCTACATGTTGGTTCACTTCTTTTCTCAACAGCGTGCATCTATCCTCCAACAGTCACATTCATTCACTCACTATCTTCTCAACCACCAAGAATTAAAAGATTCATATTTTGATCATCATGATGTTCGGTCTCAAGTCTGTCTTCCTCTTCGGCCTCGTCGCCATCTCTGCTGCCACTCCAACCTCAACCCTCGAGCGCAGAGCCAAAATTCCCGACCCGTTGAAGTGTGACGGCAAGGAATTCTCCAAGCAGGCCATCATGGACGCCCTGAACAAGGCCCCCGACACTGCGTACGATAGCAGATACTATCCTTTCATCTTCGAGAATAAGGATTCCAAAGGACGTAATATTTTCGGCGCACAGGGAAACCTGTACGAATTTCCTCTTCTGAACACCGTTTGGGCCCGTATGTATTTCCCCAGAGAAGCCACTGCTTCCGAACAATATCAAGCCGTCGAACCCAGTGCTGACTTTCCCTTCAATAGCCGGCACCGAGCCTGGCACTTTCCGTGTCATTATGAAGGAAGACTACTCGTATGTCGGTGTCACCAACAAGGACCCCGGAACGGGCAACACCGTCCACAAGTGCTAGATTCGGGATTATATGATTGTGGAGGATAGGGCGTGTGCTTTGTAATATTGGTGGTTTACATTCTTTTATATCGTTTCATCATTTCGCTTCAACTTGGACATTGTTTAGAATCAATTTGTTATGGTTTACTTCTGAGCTGCATATATCAATCAATTACTTCTTCATCTTCTAAATTGACAGACCGCTTATATTGTATGTTGGAATCGTCCTTTCTTCAATAGTTTGAATTAGGCAGCCTTTTAACTTGGAGCTGAAAATAATTGTTTCTGAATTCCGGATTGCCTTGGGTTTAGTTTCGTGGTAGTTGGATAGGTAGGTACCTACTAAGGCATCTCTAGTAGGTGACCAGCACCTCTACCTCACAATGAACTCTTCACAGTCATGCCTACGGTCCTAGGGACAATAGTATACACGGTTTATTACATTCTGTGACATGGGGACAGTTCAACCGGATCACTGATGGAAACCATGGACTTGGTACCTGGGCATGTATGAAAATAGAAAAAAAGAATTGCACCCGGCTCATGGTATGAACTTCTTACATACGAAACAACTAGTCTACCATTGCCGTACGAAGATAGAGATCTTACGATATGTAGATCTTTACTTATATTACAACCTTATTTCGATTAATCCTGTCACACGTGCGCGATCCTATTCATTATATCTGGGTCTGATTTAAATATAGCGCCACGGCACAGTCGTACGGCTGTTGGTAGTTAGGTAATAGGTACTTTTTCAGCAGTATAGACGATGATGCAATAAGATCTGCGGGTAAGGCGAAACTCGGCTGTAGAGCTGGATGGCAGGGCTTTAGGGCTGATGTGTGGAGATGCCTTCAGCTCGGAAGGAATAAGCGAAAAGCGGCATTCCTCCTGCGCGCTTAGGGAGCCGCAGCACCAGCTCTTTCAAGCTTAACGTTGGGTTGCATCGCTGGCTTAATCTCTGGGGAACCCATGTCTCGATGATCAACTGCCGGAATTGGTAACGCGAAGGAAGAAAGGCTGAATTCTAAGAGTTCCACAGCCAAGGGAAGACGAGGTTGGATGAGCTCCATATGGTGATCGACACCCAAGAAGGCGTTCGAGCGCTGATCATCGCCTTAGCATGAACTGACGCCGCAGAGCCACAATGATTATGGCTTCATCAAAGCTCGTATAGACGTACGTAGACCAAGCTTGCCGTGGTCTTGCTGAGGCGTAGGTAGCTAATTCGTAACCAACTGCATTTTCTCGAAAGCGGCGGAGTTCGAAAGGATGAAGGATGAAGACAAACACATTTGGTCCATCAAAGAGTGACGGCTCGATGCTCCTGCGAAAGTATATAATGGCCTTGATCTCCCGCCATTTCGAATAACAGTTTCATCATCACAAAACAACAATCACTCATCTCTACAACAATCTCATCTACTTTCTCTCCAATCAACCATCTACAAAAACTCCCTTAGCTTTCAGCTCTTCAAAGTCAGTACCACCGAGCCTAGACAGCGCTACGATACAAGAAGCTAACCTTCCCTCGCAGAAAAACCCAACATTCAAAATGAAGTCCTTCACCATCGCCAGCATCGTCGCCCTCTTGGCCGTTCCCTTGAACGCTGCCCCCTCATCTTCCGCTGAGAATGCCGTCCGCCGCGATATCGGCCCCGACTGCAACTGCCAGCACAACAGCGACGCTGGTCGCTGGAACGACGGCGGCAACACGCCTGCCTATGCCGTCTCCCAAGTCACCGGATCCGCCGAGGGAACTGGTTGCTACACCGCCTCCACCCAGGGCAAGATCTGCATCCAGGGCGACATCGAGCAGAGCCAGTGCATCGAGGACGCTGCCACCACTTGGCAGAGCCAGCACGGTGACTGGTTCCTCTGGACCTCTATCACCTGCAACGGTCTCTCTTTGGCCATGACCGCCGACTAAATTGCTCCCTCAGGAATGATGAAGAGTTGGCTTCACGTGTATATATAGGGATTGCAGATGGTGGATAGTGGGGGTTAGCCGGGGTGGTTATGAATAGTGGTTGTTGTTCGAGTCATTCATTTGTGTTGGCCACACAAGCTTTTGCTTCTCCTGTATCTTTTTTGATTTAGACTTTTGCATTATACATAGAATCAGTTTCCCTTGCTTCTAACCATCTTGACCCACTTTCGTATAACCCCTCCTTTTGTATAGGTTTTACACCAAAAAATGACAATTTCTAAGTTGAATAATTCCACCAATTTTAATCCGATTTGGATCATATTCTGATACGATAAATAATATGGTATTGCAGCTGCATATCTCCAGTATGGGGTAATTAGGTAACATATTTGCTACGAAACAATCAAGTGTATTTTCCCTATACAAAATCAGGGTATGTGTAGAATGACTTTAACTGTATGAAATCTTTCGAAACTTGAATAGGATGTAGATTGATCTCTTTCCTATGTATTCTGAAGACGGTGTATTTTTAGCTATTCTTTGGCAATAGATACTTGCGAGTGAGTTTTTGCCATACAAAACTTTTGTATGGGGAAAACTCGCTTGCAAATAACTCTCGCAAAAGAATAGCTAAAAATCTAAAATCGTTACAGCGTACTTGATAGCACTCGTTCATCATGTTAACCAATTCATAAGTCTTTCTAACGCCATTTGGTGGAAAGGTGGCTTTCCTTCGAGGTACATGGATTTACACCAAACTTTGTATGTAAAGCCTTGTATCTTTCTTTATAACTGCTATTTTTCATAATTATTACAGCTATAATGCTCCTAACTTGATAAATCTCAATTAAACCCATGGGATTCCATTTAATACACCAAGAAACATAGTTTGGTATTTTTCGCAATTAAATTAATAAAACTATTCAATTTCCAAAAGGGTGTGTTTTTGGTGTAATCCCCTATACAAAAGGGGGGGTTATACGAAAGTGGGTCAAGATGGTTACTTTATCACTGTTTGATTTTCGCCTAGTGTGAACCCGACGTGACCATGAACGAATTGCCACTTGTGCGATATTTAGGCAGAGTCATTGCCTCTACCTTCCCCAATCCGCTTTCGCTACCTTAAGAGATTTTATATAATCTATCAAGTCGATTTTAAAGTACAATGATGATTTGGTGATGGTAGCTGCAGGTCATATCCCATCCCATCGACATAAAGCTCAAGCCATATAGGCATTGAACCTACCTACTTAGGTACTTAGGTATGCAGTGTAACACCCGCACCCGACTGTGGCATTTTCCAGTTTCCTGAATAGGACTGAATACAACTGAAATCGTAATGTGATTGGACTAAAGTCCCGGCCGGACGGGCCGGTTAGTGGACACGCCTTCGGACTTAAGTATCTAAATCTATTGTTTAGAAGCCTTCAAGAAATATATCGACTGTTAACGAATATTCGAAATAACATCTTCATATCTAATATATGCCACTAGGGAAATGGCTGGAATAATTCGACTTTAGAAATATACCTAGCCTACCTAGTGTATGCTCTAGAGGCTGGCTTCAAGGTAAGGTGAGGTTAAGGAACTATCGGCTAGGTATAATTGATTGGCAAAATGATAAGGTAGAAAGATTGTGGTACTATACATACCAGCTTTGGTATTGTAAATTGGGAAATTTACTCGCAAGAATAGATCATGCGGGGTTACGTGATGTGTAAAAAGGGGCCCCCTTTTAAGTCTTTCCAGCATACTTTTAGGCCGTTTATAATCAATGCATTCATACCTAATTAATTCATATCTCTACCTACCTTATCAATCTATTTGTTTTGCTTCCCTAGCCCGAGCTCCTCGATGAATATGTCAGCTGCCTTTTCCGCAATCGCAAATGCAGTATTGCAGAGGTTTGCGCCTATGTTACCTGGCGGTATGCTCATGTCGGCAACTTTAAGCCCCTGAACCCCATACACACTTAGTCTGGGGTCCACGACGCCCATCTCTTCTCTTGGTGCCATCTTACACGTGCCAATTGGATGCCAAGTAGAGTTAACCTGCGAGCGAATCCATTGTTCAAGGACTCTATCATCATCCGTAGTATACTCTATATCCTCAACGCCGGTAATAGAGCTAGTGGATTCTATGGATCTAGCTTTGGAGTCTGATGCGAACGGAGGTAGGTCGAACCCAACGCCTTCAAACACTGCCATGCGACGAGCCACCTCTAGTTGCTTTTTGTACATCCATACGTGGCTCTTGACATCCAGGTCCTGAGAATCCGATAAGACGCCGGGGTCGAAGTCGATTGGGTCGTTAAGGCTAGGGCCCGTGATGTGGATGTGACCACGAGAGAATGGATATAAACTCCAGCCCACAAGGGTGAAGAACTGTCCGGAAACTGTAGTTGGATCCCCGAGGAAGCTATAAAATGAGCAATCAGTAAATCGATACTGAAACAAGAGCAGATAATTATGGTGTCTTACCAGCCCACGGGCGACATAACCATGAGTGGTTTATCCGGAGTATTTTTAAACTCCTTGGCCCAAGCTTCCTGGAATTCAGGCCCTAGACTAGTAACATCAGTGTCCGTTGGTCTAAACTTCGCCTGAACGTCTACCCCATTCCAACTCATGATTGGATCGTTTTTGGCGATCAATTCACTGTGGTCAAGGCGATAGGCATTGAATGCGTCTAGAGTCTCCTCAGGCGTTAGACTGGACTTGTACGTGTACATCGCCAAATGATGATCCTCGTAGTCATGACCAACACCAGGAAGATCAGCTACAACCGGGATTCCCGCACGATTCAGAACCTTTGATGCCCCTATGCCAGATCGTTCAAGTAATAATGGTGTTTCAAGTGGTCCAGCGCTGAGGCAAACCATACGTCTTGCTTGGATTGTGCGATATGATCCATTGGACGGTTGGTAGTCGGGATTCGGCCTGTAAACCAGTCCAACGGCCCTCTTGTCTTCGAATAAAACCCTCTCTACTTGCGACTCAACCAGTACGTGCAAGTTTGGATGTTTTCCATCTTGAAGCCTCGGATGCAGATATTTATGGGCCGCGTCTTGTCGTCTCCCGTTGAGATCGATGTAGCTCATCGTCCTCATCGCTCCATTTGTAGACCCCATCTTATTCAAGTCCTCAACCTCCGGCCATCCGACTTTATTGAGTGCAGTCAGGAAGTTATCCATGAGTCTTTGGCTGCGAAACCTGCTGGGCGAAATGTGTATAGGCCCATCATGACCGTGCCGACCTTCTGGGTCAGGACCATGGTAAGTCTCGAACTAGGCAATGATCGATTAGCACGAGCAGCATTTTTCAGCTTGTAACTTTGAAATCAGACTAATCTACTTCATACCATACCTTATTCATATAGAAAAGCATATCGTCGGCAGACCAGCCTGGCGTCTGCCAGGCCTCGTAGTCTGACCGCTGCGCTCGGCTATAGACAGCCAAATTGATAGATGATCCACCTCCGAGAATATGGCCCGTTGGTAGAGATGCCTGTCGGCCAGCGAGGTAGTCTGACTTGGGGCCTTGGTAGGTTCGAGTATATTTGGCTCCGGGAGCTATGTGCTTACCGAAGTACGAAGGGTGAAGAACCATGGGATCCTCATAATTGTTTATGCCACTTTCAATAATGAGAATGTGCAACCCTGGGTCGGCATCGGAAAGTCTTGAAGCAACAATGCAGCCGGTAGCTCCACCTATGCAGACCAGTGAGTAGGTAGGTATGGCTTTAATAGTGCCATGGATAGAAGAGTACCTACCTCCAACAATGATAACATCTACCTCTTCGATGCCATCAGGTAGTTTCGTATAAAGACCCATGTTTGCCTGATGTTCAAGCTCAACGTACACTTCTAAATTAATTGTTAATCATGGATGGGAAGGACAGGTAGCCTGGTCTAAGAGTAATGAAAACCCAACTCAAAAAGCAGAGCGGTGTCGTGTATTTGACAAGGAAAACTACACTTGAGACAATAGTTCAATCCAACCTAATGATTCCCCTGAGCCTCAAGATCCTTGATTACTATCAGAATGAGCTGGGGACTGCTGACCTATTTAAACCCAAATTCTCGTAGTATACTATACATCAGATTTCCTGAATATCCTCGTCTTGATGCAGCACGCATACTAGGCGCTGTCCTCGTAGCTCTTGTCTGCCAGTTATATCTCAACAACATATCTAATAGCCAGCCAGGATAATCTCTTGGCATCAATATCCGTATGACAGTGTAGGCCACATATGTACTAGTAGGTATATTAGATCGACATAGTCCCACTGTACCCTTGTTCATAAATCCTTCATCCCCAACATCTTCTGCAGTTTTCACCCCCGACTTTAAAGGTACACTGATGAGGTTGCTGAGCCGCTGTGATGCAGCGGGGACTTGAATTTTGGGCTTATCGAATCTGATACATAACACAGGTGCACTATACTACATGCCTCAATCCAACGTCCTTCAGGACTTTTAAATCAATTAGCTAATACCAATGTTCTTTATCGTCACGTCCTCGAGTTCCAGATAATTAGCCCCCCCGCATCCGTCAGCGCAACCTAGGTGGCTTGATGCTTGATGCTATTAGCAAGATTCTCGTCTTATTTACTTTTTATCTCACCCAATTACGCATCCGCTGTCTCATCACTCTTCAGTTTTTAGCATCCAACCAAGATGAGTAATCTAGGCCAACATCACACTGCCTTATGGGATGAAATTGCGATATTAGGCAAACGGACAAGAAACTACCTAGGCTGAGTCCCATTGTGATGTCGACAAACGGTTGGAGATGATAGACTCATTACTTCTAACGAGTATATATATCTCGTATATGTCTAAAGTACATCTAATGTAGGTACAACAGTTCCATCTCGTACATCGCTCCCCCCCTTTTTATCGTATGCTTCATCAAAATTCGTCAAGACTTTTACGCAAACGAAAAGGAAAATGTGCGAGATGAAACTATTCCAAATTCTGTACACCTGTGGGTGTTTTTCTTTTGACCTTCGACCCACCAAGACCTCCAACAACTGTCCCATGCTCGGGAATCCGAACTGCCAGAATCCCCCTGATCACAAGC